AGACAAGCTAAGACCCATTTGAGTGGTTGTCAAAATTATGGTCCCTTTTATTTCGTGCCGTATGATACTAGAGACCCAAAAAGGGACTGATGTCCGTTAATACTAATAATAATAATAATACTAGGGACCCAAAAAGGGACCCTAATTTTGACAACCACGCATTTAGGAAGGCTACACGCCACCAAGGCAAGCAGAAGCACCCTTAGAGCCCTGAGCCCCAAGCGACCGACAAGTTTGCAAACCCTAAAGGCCTTAAGCTGCAACATCCGTATGAAGGACTCCCTCTATGAATAAATAAATGTATATATATATATATATATATAGAGAGAGAGAGAGAGAGAGAGAGAGAGAGAGAGAGGCGGTATACTACACTGGAGCCTGGATCCGTAGGGTCAACAGAAACGGTACTGAGTAGGAACCTGGCTCCAAGGTCCAGAGATGTATGGACTCCCTTCATCCAGCTGATCTCCAGGTCGGCCCGAAACGGAGGTCTCTTATCCCTAACCCAAAGGCTCCATGTACCCATATAGTAGGTATTTAGGCCTTAAAGGGATCCCTATATGGGCACTTTAAGCCCTAAGTACCTACTAAAGGGGTAGATGGAGCCTTTGGGTAAGGTACTCGGTTTTAGGATAGTAGTTATGTAGGTTACTATTTTGGAGAGTATATGATAATTAATTAGGTGCTTGGACCCTAGGGGTATAGTAAGCCCCAAAAAGTTGGAAACCGGATGAAGGACAGTGCTGGGATTCCCTTTTCATTACTCTCGAGGATTCAGGCAGCTGGGTTTGCAACTGTTTGGGCTTCTGCTATAGGGTCTGGGGCTGTCTAGGTATAGGCAGTTCGCGGTGTCATGAGATGTTTTAGGGTTTAGAAGCTTTTTGTGTCATGAAGTGTTTTTTTCAGTGATAGGCTCACCTTATCTGGGGGTCCGTATTGGAGTAAGGGTCGTGTTCGCCAGGATTTTATATAATGGGGTCGCGTACAGTTTATGCACCCCCCGGATCCTGAAACACTACCAACTAAGGCTATCCTTTTTTGAGTTTAGGGCTTATGGCATGGGGGAGACGCTCATTATGGGGTGTCGGCATCAATGATAGGGTACCTGCATAGCTGCATGTATGTTCTGCTTCTAGTGTTTCAGGTCCCGATGTCAAGGAGTTACAGCTTTGGGTTTGGAGTGGCTGCTGTGATTGAGTCTCCCAGTGGTTTCCCTTGTCTTCAACTTGAGGGTTTGGAGTTCAGGATTCTTTATGTGGGGTTTACGGATGTGTAAAGGGTTCAGGGTTCAGGGGTAGGGTTCTTGCCTTATGATCTACTTAGGAGCTGAATCCTCCACTAGTTATATTAAAGGATTGCAAAAATTCATCCCAGAACCCTGTTGTTCAAAGCTCCCGCATGTTTGGATGAAGAGAAGGTTTACATAAGTTGGCGGGTAGGCGCGGAGTTGCTGCCAAGACTGTCTTTCATGGGCTTTGTGCAAGCACACTATTTCTACGTTATACACTACCGGGTCACCACCGGTTTAGTGGCAGTGTAGGGCCTGCCGGATGCAAGCGAGTTGCACTGCCACAAAGAAACCACAAATCATGAACACACACACACACGCGCACATACACACCCCTGATGCCCTAGGCAAATCACTTTAGTTCGACCCCAAACCCTAAAGAGCTTGAATGATAGCATAAAGCTGCAACCCTGGTCCTCAAGCGCTGACCGCCGCACAGGGTCTTGATTCAGCTATTTGGGCTTGCCCATCCCGAATAAGCACAAGAGACATAGAGGCCTGAAGGAAATGATAAAAGTCTTTGAGGCTTCGTATTGCAATCATAGAAACGCCCAAGATCTTGTTCTAATTATCATGGCTTTTTTCCGCCCTTCACAGTTTACAGATGCATCTTTCCGAAGTTCCAACTGGTTCACATGCATGTAGCCCTAAACCCAAAAAACCTAATTCCGGCTTGGGCACGGTATCAGTGTATATCGGGGCTTGAAGGGTAATGTAAGAGGTTTTGGTTTCGTGCTTAGGGTTTCGGGGGTCAGGTGTAGGCTTTGGGACCTCTTGGCATGAGCTCGCTGAGCACTTGCCTGGCCCTGCAGAAACCGCCGCGGAATTCCCAACCAGACCTCGATGGCGATCGTGAGCTGGCATGGAATGATGACGAGGCCGAGGATGTTGAGGGTTATATGGGAGTTTCCGAAAACAAGGGGCCCCTTATCTTTGGGGTCTTTATAGTATGGATCCTACTATTTAGGGTACTATATTAGGGACCCTATTGCGGAAATTCCCACATGGCCCTGGGGTTCAGCGGTATGTTGTAAGTCGTGGATCCAAGCTTATCCACCGTGATGATGTCCTCACGTAACCCTGCAAGATGTTGCTAACGGCTTCGTGTTGGGGGTTCCTGCGGATAGACTGGAGATATGCTGTTACTGGACACACGCGGCATGGAGCCTGACAACTGTTGACTATATCCTCGCCCTTTGTCGGCTTATTGGGTTCATGTCTGGTGAATACAACAGTTCATAGCACAGTAGAGCTTGCGAAAGCACAGTGACCCTGCTGCAGCGCATGTGGGTATGTCTGCACATGCTCAACGCACTTTTATATGCCCGACTTCGATGTAGTGTGATACGGTTGATGATATAGATCCTGCATTACCTTCAGGGCACTAAGCTATGTGAATTATGGTATATTCCTTATTATGGGTCATGCAGGATGTATATCATCAACCGCATTTCCTGTGTGTCAGGCACAAGTCCGGGCAGAGCGTTTGGCGAGCCAGGCACATGGCTGGCGGTTAAGCTTTCGTTCCGGGTTTAGGGTTTAGTCGGTCGACAGCCTTGGGCTTTTTGCACGTTGGCTCTTTCTCTGACGGTGTAGGGCAGTCAGATCATTACTAGCACTGGAGTTTGCGCCATTGCTTGGAAGTTCATGGGTAGTTATAAGTAAGCTAGGTTACAAGTCCCCTAATGATTATCCATGAACCTCCCAGTATGATGACTACCCAACCCCATTCCTCGTAGAACAGCATCTGCGGCCTTGGATAGGAAGACCTTCACATCCAAGAACGCCTTGGGACTTCCCTGGCCCGAAGCCCTTCAAACAAAGCGGTTTTAGGTGCTCTGCGCTGGGGGTTAGGGGTTGGGGTTTAGGAGTGTTGGGCACCGCGGTTCTTCGTGGCAACAGCGCTGGAGCGCCCAAGTCTATGCTATTGCCTGCAACATGCGAGAACTCAAACATATCAACATGCGCGATGGCGATTAGGTATTATGCGTGCATGGTGTGTGTACATACCTATGCCCTCTTCTCAGGCTGAATATTACGCCTGTTCGTGTTCAGGCGCCTGAATAGGGTCGCGGGCGTTTTTTATGCCTGCGGGCGTTGTATCGGTTTCGGGGTGCTGTGGGGTTCTGCTAATTTAGAAACCTCATATCTCGCGATCCGGATACCCTAAGTATTGTCGATATACTAGTCCAAACCTCACAACCCTTCTTGTCAACATCCTGCAAGATTCCTGCTGTGGGGACAGGGAAGGAACCGACGGCAGTGGGCTCAAAGCTCGATGCCGATGCCCTCATGTAGGGGTGATGTTGCACCGGCAGCACAGGTGCGCCCTATCCCTGTGCGCGAGTTTTGCTTTAATTTGCTGAAAGTAATTGGTGGACGGTTTCTGTGCATCTGCTGCTTGAACGATGGCCATCAGATGTGATCTTCACGAACATGTCTGGTGCAGCTGTTTGACTAGAAAGCCAAAGTTAGACTTGTAGGAGGCCTTGTGAAGATATGGCCATGTTTGCGCTCATGAACGTCGTCCTGGTACAAGAATACTCGCGTGAAGGCATACGGATAGTGTGCTGCCCAGAAGTCAAGTCGTGTTTCCTGCACGTGAACCATGCCATATGGATCGAGGAAGAACACCGCCACAGTTGCTCAGTTGTGTAGTTTAAGCGCACAACCTGGGTTCTGTAGCGAGTTTCAGCCGATTTGCATGGTCTTTGTTGTTTTAGCTATGTTACTTGTGATTTTAGCAAAAAATTCAGGCGTAATTAGGCGTACTTCAGGCGTAATCTCGCGTACTTCAGGCGTTTTACCCCGTACGCCTATTTTTTTGTACACCTGTCTTTGTGCTGCATGACTTAAAAGTGATCATTGCTGCGGCTGTCAGGGACGCGTTTAGGCTAGCTTGGGGAATTTAGTAGGAAGCATGTCGCTTCGGAGCAACATGTGGTCGTCGGCTACTCTAGAGCGTGGGGCCTGCCTTGCAGCAACCCTATCGCTGGAAGCCGATCCAGAACTCATGGCCATGAAAGAAGAGCTTATCGTTCTTTGGTTTGCAATGATGCACCCTGCCTGGCCTTTGCTACGGTGGGACAACACTTTTAATGACAGAGAAACAGAGAACGAGACATAGAGCCAAGTAGGGGTGGCGGGAGGGCTGTGAGGGACAACAAACCAAGGAATTTCGGATTGTTTCTTTTAGTTGTTCTGAAACATCTCGAGTTGAAGCTATTAACTTACCAGCAACACATCCTATAGAGACCCTTCCCGATATCCTGTCGCCCAAACGTCCTTGGTATATGGTTGCGAATCCTGGCATGTTACCGCAAATGCCGTCTTGAAGTCATGTTTTAATCAAGATCCCAACGTTCTAGATGATTCTTACATCCGATAACTTTCGATTCATTCAACACAATGGGTCTTGTCAAGTTCTATGCCCTTAGAGCAAACAGGCTCAGGCGTAATTTTGAGGCCCAGGCGTAATTTATCAACTCAGGCTGAAAATCAGCCTGAACCCATTCAGGCTGAATATTGCGCCCGACGAGGCTATAGGTACGAGTTGTGCGATAAAGAAGTTACAGGAGCCGACAAATGACAATACAACAGTGTTGTAGTATAAGCGCATGACATGCTTATGAGCACTATTTGTGCAGTTTTGACGCATGTAGCGAATTTCTGGGGCATTCCTTCTCGAGAATTCCAGGGGAAGGAGTAGGACATGGTCGCCTGGCGCGAGCTTTGCAAGGGAGTTCTAGTGGAGGCCTTGCGTTTTGTGGTTGCTGCTTGGGGCGAGTCGAAGCATCCTGTCAGCTGCAAAGAGAACGGTCAAGAGGCCACCTGGATCTGTTCTGATCAGAGGGACTACTGGGAGGCTCAGGCTAGGAAGTGTCGAGACAGGCTTGCTGAGGCAGAGCTTTCCATTCTGGAATTAGAGGCTTATCGAAGGCAGCGATTCTGGATTGAACTTGTGCTTTGGTTCCTGAGCATTCTGCTGAGTTTCCTGCTGGGCGGTTTTCTTTCCGCTACAATTTCTTCGTGGCACCGCGGTGTGACACCCGGGCACTCGGGTCAAGGACTGGCATTGGAGGCACCGCAGTGGGTCGCCGAGAGTGAGACCTTGGCTTCTGTGCCAAAGGATGGCAAGGAACTGGCTGCCGCTAGACTCCGTGCTCGTGGTCTTCGAGGAAGACCCAGCCCTGTATCATCAGAGAATAGTTCTGCATTGCTCTGAGGGCAATCATGTGAAAGTAGCCACCCCTGACCGGGAGATTCAGGACACGATCCTGGAGGTAGGTCAGGTGTATCAAGACATAAGGCGTGTTCATAATGGTCGGCTGCCCCAGGGTGTTGACGAGAATGAGACCTACATGGCCAAGCATTCGGATCAAGGTGCCTTTACTAGGCAAGAGTTGCTGGAGCTGATAAAGAAGGCAGAGGCAGATGACACACGTCGGCCCCGTCATCGCATTACTGGCAAGCTGGACTCGGATGGTCAAAGGCATCCGGTCAGGGCTACTGGAATGGAGGCGGCGGTCCATGAGAGAGAGGTCTCGGACTTCGTGTGGATCGTGGTGTACAGCTCTGATGGGGAGAATGTCGGTGATCAGGTGACTTGTCCGGCCTCCTCGCCTTTGCTACAAGTGGGTGGTCTTGATTACAAGCTTTTTGTATCAGGAGGCCGCACCCTGCTAGCGCGGAAGGTGGCCGCTGAAGTTGCTCCAGAGGTCAGCAGCGCTCTCAGGCCAAGGGCTGGAGATGTCCAGGCAGCTGAAAGGGATGTGAGGGTACTTCCTGTCATGTTTGACGCATCTGATGAGAGATGGCGTACTTTGACGGAGGCGTTCCCTGAGTACGAGGAAATTGAGTATGACGATTTCCCGCTCACTGGACCCCGGACGGTTTACAGGGACATCAGACAGCTCAGGAGGCTGGGTTTTGACTTTGTGCAACACCACGAAAGCTGGGTCCGAAAATCAGGAGTTCGTGGTACGGATCGCAGTGTGCATGAGCATTCGTCCATTTGCAGAGCATTGAACTTCATGGCATCGTACGACCAGCTGAACCTACCATCATTAGCTTCTGCCGAGGCTTTGAACCGCAGAAGGGCACTGATCGAGGTAGCTCATCAAGGTCGTCCGGATGCCCCCTCCTACGAGGGATCGGACGAGATACTTGGTGTCCGTGAAGCCACGGACGGTTCAGTTATCGACCCGGCCTTGACGCAGCACGCGGCAAAGCGACAAGCAGCACGAGCCGAGATCCTAAAGCAGAACAGGTTGGCTGCAGAGGAACGAAAGCATCTTCGGCAGCGACCTGATGGTCCACCAAATCCTCCGAACAAGCCGGACAAGAAGGGAAAAGGCGAAGGCAAGGGTGGTCAAGGTGGAGCCGCCCCCTGAGGAGGCGGAGGGCGGAGGTGGCGAGGGTGCCGCTGCTTCTGTCCGCAATGGTTTTAGCACCAGTGAATTTTCCAAAGAGCCGTTGAGCAGGTTTGGCGATGTTTTCCCCTTACCCTTACCTGTTGACGATGGTTTTGCCGGGTGTGAAAGTGGTCTGGCTTCGCGTCGCTCAAGACAGAGGGTGCATCGAAGGAGGACTTTGATGGATCGTGAGCGGGGCACGGTTTGGGCCCTTAACAATTTGGCAGGTTTTTCAGATGCAAGCACATGGCCGTTGTCGCATTTGAATGCGGCGCAGCGGCACATCAATTCGCGGATCAGGCGGGCACACAAGGATAGAGCCCCCCCCGCGGTGCAAGAATCTCCGCAGGCAGCGCTTCGGCAGCTGCTGCGTAAGAAGGCTGGGACATACTCATCTGACCAGCCGGGGCAACTTGCCTCCTATGCGCGAGAGCGGCTATCCCTACCACGGGGACAGGGTGAACCAGTTCGGCTCACTGATATCCTCCCCCCGCGTGAAAGGCACCAGCTCGAGAACTTTGCCGATGAGATGATGTTGGGCGATGAGGAGATTGCTGGGGTGCTGGAAAGGGGGTTAGATGGTCTACGGCACATAGATCCGGTTTTGGCACATAATCCACGACGGTATCATGAATTTGTTGCGGACCTGTACGATTGCAAGCTTGTGGGGTTCACGGTGACGCCAAGGGTGCAGGTGGGAGCATTCGTGGTCACGAAGAAGGGTGATCGCCAGCGGCTGATCGTGGATGCTCGCCGCACAAATAGGCTTTTTAGGACTCCGCCTAGCACAAACCTGGGATCCATAGAGAGTTGGGCGAGGTTGGAGTGCAGTCAAGGGGAGACACTTTTCATGGCGCAGGAGGACGTAAAGGATTTCTTCTACAGACTTCGTATAGATCAGAAGCTGGGGGAGTATTTTGCGCTCCCGATGGTCGATCCCCTCTTGCTGCAGGAGTGCCTTGGATACATGCCGGAGGAGCTCCAAGCACTCGCCGACAGGCACGAAGGGCCCTACTACCCGTTCCTGACAGTGTTGCCGATGGGATTCAGTTGGGCCTTCCATCTCGCACATCAGGCGCACATGGAGGTGGCGCGTCGCGTATTGCCGGACAGCCTGCTGGTCAAGGACCGGAGGCCAGCAGTGCGCATGGGACGTGCCGATGGGGAGTGCCAAACAGCTATGCTCATATATGCTGACAATAACAACCATCTCGGCGTTGACCTGGGCCAGGTAGATCGGGATCAAGAGCGTGTCATGGAAGAACTTCACAGGCATGGTCTGGCCACTCATGATATTGTGCATGGTTGCAGTCTGTGTGAAAGCTTGGGGGTGCGAGTGGACGGCTTGAACGGAAAGGTCGAGACTACTCCAAAGAGGGACTGGAGGCTGGATAGAGCGCTGCTGGCTTGCTGTGCTGCCCCGTGTCTTTCTGGTGCCGAGCTGGAAGTTCTGGTGGGTCACATGACGGTCAGGGCTTTGTTGCACAGAGGGCTAATGAGCATCCTCAGGCACTCCTATGTGTTCATCCGCTCGAATTACCACCGAAGGACGAGGCTTTGGGACAGCGTCATACACGAACTGGAGTTGTTCCGCAATCTTATGGTCCTTGGACAGGCAGACATCTTTTCCAGATGGGACGCTTCGCCCTTAATCACTGACGCTTGCACATCGGGGTATGGAGTCTGTGAGGGGCAATGGAATGTCACCGAAGTTGAAGCTGTTGGAAGAGAAGATGAACGCTGGAGGTATCACCGTGGGCCTCCAGATCGGGAAAATCCCAGAGCCGCGGCCTTGAACACCACTGATGTTTTTGATGACCCGTGCAGTGTCCTTCCGGATTTTGAGGGTGAGCTACCGTTCCAGCTAGTTGAGAACCCAATGTTTCCGGAGGTTCCGAAGTCGTTGCTCTCGCCCGAGAAATGGCACACATTGTGGTGTGCTCCCTTCGACTACAAGGACACCATACATGTTCTGGAAGCGAGGGGAGTGTTGGGAGCAGTCAAGCACAGAAGCCGAGATCAGATGAAGCATGGTACCAGGGTTCTCATTTTGAACGACAACCTCGGTGTCGTGTTATCCATCAGCAAAGGTAGATGTGCGGACTATGGCCTATTACGCATCCTCCGCAGGATTGCAGCTCACAGTCTGGCCACAGGCATCCGTTTCATAGTGCGATGGGTGCCCTCTGAGCTGAACATCGCTGACGGCCCGAGCCGCACATGGGAATCCCCACATGAGCAGTACCGCAAATGTGAGGCGCGGCGTAAAGAGGGTTGTCGAAATTTTCACGAAGGAGGAGGCCACGAGAGCCAATGCCAGATTGAGTAGCCCGAGGCGGAGAGATCATTCACCAGTGGCGAGGAGGTCGAGAAGCCGTTCTTTGTCGCGAGTCCCTCCAGATCCATGCCTGTAAATATTGCATACGTGGCCATGTCATTGTCTCAGGGGTGCGCGGGGCATGACAGCGATTTTCGCTGTCATTTGCGTCAGGAGGCTGTTTAACATAATGTATGTACGTACTTGTATATGTGTATATACATACCATATACCAACATGAACCTATAAATATATATATATATATATTAAATATATAGGTAGATATATTTCAGAATGCTACAATATTACTAGTAGTAATAGTATATTCGTCTTAGTCTTAGTTACTAGTACTATAATACTAGTACTAGTACTAATACTAGTATTAGTATTAGTACTAGTACTAGTACTAGTATTAGTATTAGTATTAGTATTAGTATTAGTCTTAGTATGTGTATTAGTATTAGTATTAGTGTATTAGTATTAGTGTATTAGTATTAGTGTATTAGTATTAGTGTATTAGTATTAGTATTAGTATTAGTATATAGTGTATAGTGTATAGTGTGTATTATAGTATAGTCGAAGTATAATACCAACATTATTTACGTAAAGTGTAAATGAAGTAGAAACACAGTATAAGGTATAATTATACTACCCAGGTATTAGTAACAATACAAGCAAAAGTAGCAGCAGTAGTAGTTGTAGTAGTAGTAGTAGAAGTAGTAGTAGTAGTAGTAGTAGTAGTAGTAGTAGTAGTAGTAGTAGTAATAGCAGTACTAGTACTAGTACTAGTACTGGTAACAGTAGTATTAGTAGGAATAGTAGTAATAGTAATAGTGATGGTAATAGTAATGGCACTAGTAATAGTAATAGTAAGGACAATAGTAATAGTGATAGTAATCGCAAGAGTAGTAGTAATAGAAATAGAAATAGCAATGGTAGTATTAACAGTAATAGGATACTAGTTGTAATAGTAATGGACAGTAATAGTACTAGTAATAGTATGAGTAATGGTAATAGTAGCAGTAATAGTACGAGTAATAGTAATTGTAATCACAATAGTACTAGTAGTAATGTTAGTTATGGTAACCGTAATGGCAATATTAGACTTTATCGTAATGTAGCAATAATAATAGTACAAGTAACAGTAATCGTGATCGTATTAGTAATAGCATGTATACTAGTAGCGATGGTAACAGGAATAGTAACTGTCGTAATATTAGCAATAGTAGCAGTAGTGGCAACAATAGTAGTAGCAGTAGTAGTAGCAATAGCATGACAGCGACAGCAATCGTAATGGTTGTGCTCGAAATCCATGTATGCACGCATTGCTAAGATACATCTGCTTGCTCTTGGGGCGTAGCCCAGCTTATGATCGCAGAAATGGTTGTCATTCTGGAAACAACTGTTTCCGCAACATGGAGTTCTCGAAAGTATAAAAAATGAACACAGTCCGCTAAATGGTATGCACACAGAATGTAACAGTCTGTGAAATTAAGCGGCCGATCTATGCTGGCAAAGTACTTTTGAGACTGGGCAGTCGCATGAACGTATGATACTATACCCAAAAGCTCTCTGAAGCGAGACCCTTGAAACTACAACTTGATCCTGTCCCCGGGGCCCGATAGCTTTAAACCAGGATTGCTGAAAGCCACGGAGCCGCAGGTTCATGGGATTGTGGGCATGTTCGCAGTTAGGAGTTTTTCTTTCCCTTGACATTCATTAATTCACAGCACAAGCCGCAGAAGCTCCCGATCCTTAAGCCGCTCGCCAAAACGCGGGGGCTAAAATTTGAGAGTTCAGAATTCGGGAAATGCAGGACAGCTCGTTAACGGAATCAAAGGCATCCTTCAGCGTCACGGCACCGCATGGCTCGCCACTAAAATACTAAATTGACTAGATTGACTAGGTCTATCAAACAGAGTAATGTGTTGTGAGGTTTCCTGTGCTATGGTAGCACAATGCAGTGCAGTTAGCAGCCGGGAAACTTGAGATTGCATGGACTAGAGCTGGGCTGTTCGATGCGCAAGTGAACATAAAGTAGTATAACATCTACCTTTTGGCACTCGCTCTCGGCAGGCAGTCGAAGTTTACATACAAAAGTTCATCGATACATACATGGGGATCTATTGCTGGGACCGCAAGTGCACAGTGCACAGAATACATTCTCAACCTGTAGTCAACTTGATATCGATATCAATGCACTTGCTCGCGTAGTCTGGGGTTTTAGCCGAGCGCATGTCATGCACATACGGGGTGCGTGAAAATTTGGGGAGGACGAGGGTGGGGGGGGGGGGCGGGGTGGCCGGGGTTAACCGTACCTCCTAAATTTCACTCAAAAAAAACCGATACCCAGAAAAAACAACATATCCTGGACTCCCATTTTCGACACAAACATAAACAGCCGCACTGGAAATCATACCCTACGTCGGTATCGGTTTTTAGTGACAAATCGTGGAATAGATGAAGTTTCTGTATCCCCCTACAGACAACATACATAAGATACGTGCATGTATATGTATGCAAAGTATGAACATATATGTGTGAACCGGTATTATATATATATATATATGTACACACATGAATATGCTAGACGCTTGTAGGCCCATTGATCCAGCTGCCGTTCGCGTCATAGAACAATTGCCTCGTTGACACCTACGCACATACGTCGCATTCCCATCAGATGTCCCAAGAGCCTTGCAACCCGGGAACAGGCAGGAACAAAACACACGAAGATGAGCTCAACATGCAACCTGTCCCGTGATGGAACACCGAGCGTCCCAGATCCCATGGGAAACTTTTCGGAATCTTCTATGTTCTATGGCTAAGCGCGGCAAACTCAAAAGTGAGACGTAGCTATGTTCATATAGTGGTTATTAAGTTTGCCTGGTTGGTCTGAAATCTTGATTGTTTCGTGGACGAGTGGCATTGGCTCGCGCCCTACACGCGTGGGCCCTATGCCCTATGCCCAGGTTCTCTTCAGTTCGACGTGTAGCGAATTGTTCACAACGGGGGATTGCACCAAGGCTGTGGGTTACACAGAACGCTGGTTTCAGTAATGTAAGTAAAGGTGGTGTGGATTGCGACTTATCGGTTTATAAGCAAAGGCTGTGGGGTAAACAATTCGGAGATTTCATTGCTGCCGTGCACAAGCATCCCTTGAAGGTACTGTGTGTAAGCACGGGTACATCAACACCGAAGCTAGTCCAGCATTAGAAGATATTTGTTGATTTTGGAGGCAGGATAGGGCTTTAATACAAGCTTGGTGCACGGACTATAATTGTACGGAATGCCCTAAACTAGTTTGTGCGGGTCGGAGTGTGTTGATTCGTTCTTTACAACAGATATCAGCCATTATGCACGATGGTATTTTGCTGCTGCTTGGAACAGGTACTGTGAGGACGATAGCAGACAGCCATATGGCAGGAACCGAATCATGAAGGGATTGTGGGGTTGGCAGCGGCGTGCACAGATGATGTTATGTGAGGTGCTCGGAATCATAGCACGTCGCACAGCGCGGAGTTTAGTTGCACTAGAATCCATCAAAAGTTTCAGGGCCTTGACGCAACTACATATATTATGATCCCCGACCTGAGCACCGGCTCGGATTGTGAGGATAGTCGGTGTAGCCAATGGTGTGGACTCCACGAAAAGTGCTCACCGGGCCTCATAGCACATAGGAAACCATACAGCTATTCTAGATTGAAATGCCGGTTTACTGACGCAAGATACCGTTGTATCGTGAAAACAGATCCGCGATAAATGCCATGCGCTGCAATCAGGACTGGGGCAGAGATGGTTCTAGAAAACAAGGATGTTACCGATTCTTACAGTACTACACAATTTGGGGCGAGAAACGAAAAGAAACTGATAAGAGCACCTTTATATTCGCCATGCTGACACAAAGCAGTCACATGCAGATGCGCGAGATAACTGCTCAAAGATGGTATTGGCTTGAAGGGATTAAGTGTGCCTGAGATGAGTACTACACGTTAGGACAATTTCATAACAGGGATAAAGTTTGGGCGTCGGAGACCGAAATTACTAGGCTTTAGCCATTACATCAACAATCCCGCAGATAAGTTAATTTGGACGTATGAGCATCTTAACGTCATGGCAAAATCGATGGATTGATGGCTGGAGGGTTTACTGGTTGCTGTCCCGAACCGACCATATATAGGAGCAGACAGAATGATTTGACGGCAGCACGGCTGACCAATTTTTCCCACCCGCCCAGCTGAAAACCAATTGGGCTGCTGGATAGGTTTCATTATAACCTTAATGCCCTAAACATTTCATTAATCCGCGAAGTACACTCTGTCTGAGCATTTGACATGGGCAAACGAGTACTTAAATCAAGACGGCGGCAAAGTAAATGGATAAACAAATGTTGCACGCTTCGTGCCTCTGGTGCGTCATGGGGGCCAGCTGACTGCAGTAGTGCACTAGTGGTTTGATGGAGAGGTCCTGGGTACTTAATCAGTCACAGCGGCAAACTGAAGGTTTTCATGAATGGATGAACCGCTTTCTATAGGGAACCGTACCGGTTTCGGTTGGGTAGCTCTGGCGCATGATAAAGGTTGCAAGAAGGGTGCTATCAAGCCGAAATGGAGGATCTGTGTGAAAAGCAGACGGCAAAATACCTACGTTTGCATTTCTGTGTGTATTTGTATGTATATTTACTTGTAGTCCTTGTGTATATGTATTTCAGGAGCCTATAGCCCTATATGTTCTGTATGTTTTCATGTACACACTAATACGTACTGATCGAAACCCTAGTGTATGCATGCCGGTGTGAGTACTGGACCAGCAAGCCCAGCGAGCCTTGAAAGATAGCCGTGGACATATCCGGGCCAGGCGATTTAGGCTATTAAATGAAAAAAGGACCCTGAAGGAGATAACTATATATATATGTATATATATATATGTATATATATATATATATGTATACATACATGTATAGACACGATATGTACATGTACGGATCTTTCCAGGTCCTGGTTCGTCGAAATCAC